ATCTTCCCGTCAATGTTAGGGTTGCCCTACAGAAGAGATCGCTCCAGTTGTGGTGAAACTACAAATCCCGTAAGGCATTGCAAGACTCTGAAAACCACTGACAAGACTTCCAGAGGCAGATGCATGATGGTATTTGTAGTTTCACCACAGCTGGAGGGCTGACACTGGGCTACCCCTGCTTAAGGGCTACTTCATACCATCCTCACTTTGTTTTGGGGTGGAAGGGGGCGTGGCGGCGCAGCCACGCCCTCCGGCTGCAATGTGATCGGCCGCACTGGAACGTGTGGCACATCTTTTTCTGACTGCACCGGACCGGAAAGCTGATGTGCCGCGCGGTCCCGTGCGGTCGATCGCATTGCTGCCGGAGGGCGTGGCTGCAGTGCCATTGCGTTTAATTCTCCGTCACACTGCCTCCCACCCCAAAACAAAGTGAGCCGGCTGGAATGCGATCCATTGTGTTCCGGCCACAATTGGGCCGGAACGCATTGAGGATGGTCTGAACTAGCCCTTAGGGTAACCCTAACATGGTCAGGAATTTTAGAGCCATGAACAGATGTCCACAGATCCCCATTTATACTATATATGCGATAAACAGAGGTTCCCACAGGGTGAAGCAGAGGACAAAGCAGGATTGCATACTGACAGCTTTACAAATGATTTTTAGTCTGCTGACATGAAGAACTCCTCTATTCACATTCTTTACAGGGTATCTAGGGTCAAAAACTAAAAATAAATTTGTATTTCTGTATTGAATGTCCATAAGTTCTATCCCACTCCTAATAATCATATTGATTTAGAAGTTTATAAACTTACGCATTGAAGATGCCCATAGGATGTACGTCCTCAATGCACTGACACCATTTCACTCAGCTCTATCTGTATACACTTCTTTGGGTCACCATTCTAACACAGGCTGCTGTCTGAATTACAACTCAACGTCTGAACAATGTAACATCATTATTGCTTGCTGGAAGCAGTGCATGATGGGATATGCAGTCTTGAGAAATGAAAATGGCATCATATCAAGCAGCAGAGAAAGAGATGCAAGGTACACTGGGAATCCAGGAAGTTGATGAAAGTGATGGGCAGACAGAAGTCAGAACTTACTACATAAAAGGGATTTTTTTCAAGTAAGCTTGGCTGTAATATCAAAACCAACTCTAGAATGTATTCCTATTACAATGCTGATGTTACAACAGGAGAGGATATGCTGGGACTTTACAACTCCTTTAAGTGCAGCCAGTGCAGAGTATCAACCCATGTTCACCATAGAAAGCAACTAGTGGACACTTATGAAAACTGTGCCCAGGATCCTCCAAGCAGATGCAGGAACAGAGAGAAATGGGTGTAAACTGATAAAAAAAAGTCTAAATAAAAGCATAAGGCTGAAAACACAGGGCGAGTCCTAGACATTCAATGGTGTAACAGCGCAAACGTTTAATTAGGCCGTGAAAAGCCGGCACAGAACCAGAGCTGTCTGTTCCTGAAGCTAGAACAGGATGGATGATGCACACTGACAGTTGTTTGAGGCTTAATTGGTTTTAGCAAGAAAGTTAAATTCAAATAAACGTGCAGACTCCTCATTTACTGCCAGGAATAAAGACATACAGACTTGTTAAAGGTGATGGGAAAAGTTTTTATGACTTTAAACGAGCTCTTCCTCTTGAGGTTTTCCGCTCTGTGATTTCTAATATATATCAGACTTTTCTCCTCACTTTTTTTTTTTTTTTAGCTGAATCAATTAGCTATAGTTTATTGCTTTCTCGCCTACATTGTGTATCCTTCACTCTACAAAACGAAAGAAAATATGATGAAATGTACGTGCCAGTGAGCAGATAGCAGCCTTCTCTTACTGTAAGCTACAACAAAAGACCAGCACACAGGTTTAAAGGGGGGGGGGGGGGGGTGTACTTCATTT